AATTATTGATGGGATAACTGAGATCTCTGACCATCTCCCTCGTTCCACTTCGAGTACCCTGAGCTCCCTTTCCCGTCCCCTCCCTCTTCCCACTAACAAACACAAAGACAAGCTAACTAAATGAATTTATTCGAAATAAATTGAATATCAACAACACACACATTACATATCACTACATACAAGAAGAAAAATTAAAATGAACTTACCTTCCAGTGGAAACCATTTCCTCCTCTAGTGAGACCAATTTCTATCTTCAAAGGACGCAGAGCGCGAAAAAAACTTTTCTGAACAAAAACGAAACTGAAAGCGCATACCATATAAGGAAAGAGAATGAAAAGCTGATTAGAATGAATATAAACATGAAACTATCAATTCACAAACAAGGCTCAGAGTTGGCAGAAAAAAAGTTTTCGATCGCGCAATGAGGAGAAAATTCTGGAAAAAAAAACTTTTCTCATGATGAATACAAACGTGAGCGCATACCATATAAGGAAGAAGGATGAGAAGCTGATTAGAATGAGTATAAACATGAAACTATCAATTCACAAACAAGGCTCGAAGTTGGCAAAAAAAAGTTTTCGGTCGCGCTATGAGGAGAAATTTCCAGAAAAAAACTTTTTTCATGATGAATACAAACGTGAGCGCATACCATATTTAGATAGAGAATGAAAAGCTGATTCAAATGAATGTGAATATGAAGGTACGATCTGAAGAACAAAGTTAGACGTTGGGAAAAACAACCTCGGTTGCAGTGTCAGCACTTCAAGAAGCAAACGTTTACTGGCATAAGCTCTCGAGTTTGTAAATGGCTACTCTCATACAATATGTACCTAACATATCAGACCATATAAGGAGAAAGAGAAGGAGAACAGAGGGAAACGTTAAAAGAGAGAAACAGTCAAAGCAAAAGGTCTGACAGACGTATGTGGTGACGAGAGAGATTGGGTACAAGACAACTTGAAGAGAATACTCTCCTCCCAATCATCAAAAAGAAAGGCTCGTCAGCCATAGAAACAGTCTTGACTGGATGTTAACAACGAAGAGAGCAGATGATGTATGATCAGATATTATTAAAGAAGAAACAAATCATTCAAAAGCATACATGATAACAGCCAAAACTCAATAGAACTCCTGACTTATGGACTCAGACAAGAAATCAATCGATAATCTGTAAGTTGATGAGAGTAGGAGCAAAGTAGGAAAAATCGATATTAACTGAGGAGGAGAGGGAATGGGCTCAGACTACAACAGACAGTACAAGAGAAGGATCAATCCTTAAATCATAAAAGGAAAATATCCAAGTTAGGAAAACATTGCTGGGAGAGTGACTTTCGATCAAGATGAATGTATGATAGAAAATGCAGAGAAACACAACAAAGGGTTGCTCCACACAGAAAATGAACTATATAAATGAATTCGAAATGAAATTTTAATAAGAATCGACCCAAGAAACATTGAATTTGATTCAGTTTCAGAAAAGTTACATTGTTTTTCCAAAAAAGAACGACCGGGTCATTTTATTTTTCACGTAAAAATTATTTCCACGTGTGGCGTTCCCGCGGGGGTATATAAGCCGTGAAGTTTCTGAATCCCGTCAGTTGGTGGTGTGAGTCGGTGAGCTCCACATCTCTCTCATTGGAGGTTCTATAGAGAGGAGGAAAAGGAAAAAGCTCACTTGCTCGCAAGCCAGGGATGACCGCTCAGAACGGTTGCATTCTACCAAGAACCACTCAGAACGGTTCCATGAGAATTGGGTAACCACAGCTACTACGTAGACTCAACGAACAACAACGTATCGACCATTGCTGGTCCTCCCTATCATCAACCTTCTACTTCAATCCAACTGAGACCCAGATCCCACACAGTCTAAATAAGCTGTGAAGGTTCGCTAAGATGAGGGCAGTTTAGAACATTGAAACAGATACATGCTTTTGCAGTAAATTGTATTCAAAAGACGGCGAGAAAACAGATTATTACAATTCTGAAATTGGAGCGCAAGACAAGCTTAATGAAATCAACAACATCAGTTTGTATAGAAATCCTTAAAACGAATCTCTAACAATGAAGTTTGGTTTCTGATACCTCTACAGGTTGCTCTAATTTAAATTTGCTTCACAAACATTGAATGAGACGGGTGAAACAGAAATTCGAATTAGAACGTACATTGTTTGAGGCATTCATGCCTTTGGAACATTTAAAACGACTGCCAGTAACCGAAGATGAGCAAAAAATGACACAATGGAATACAAAGCTTCAGGCTCACTGACCAAGAACGAACAACACTATGCTGCTTTCATTTTGCTCTAATGCCTCCACTGAGAGCGGTCGTTCATTTATATAAAAACTGTTTGAAACCCCAAGACAGAGAGGCCTTCTAGATGAAAAGATTACAGAGTAAACGAAAAAAAGATGAAAAAATGTAATCGCAACAAACTAAGATACTTGCCAATTTGACATGTACGTTTCCGCAAAAATTATTTGAAAAAGGTACGTGTTCATTCGTTAGCACGGCGGTAGTGTCTCTCTCTAACTAATCTGAACAATCTCAGTCTACTGTATGCTCTATGCTCACCAAGCTTCAACTTCTGATTTGACACAGTGTAGTCTCTGTAAATGTACTCTGCAACTGTACAAACGAAATCCCCTTTTTTGTCATTCTATTCAGCTTTTCAAAAATGATATATCTAATCTTTATTGATGTTACTAGATCATTTTTTTTGGTTTCCAATTGTCATCGTTGCGTTTAGTGGTTCAAGATTTCCAACGATTCTTGAGAAGCGGATTGATCAGCTACCACGTTAACCTTCAAAAACTTTGCGTTATAAACTTAGAAGCTTAAAACTATACATCTGAAGCCAAACAGCAGATGTCGTTGTTGATACATTGGAAGCCATTTGGACAGGAGTTATCAATACATGCTAGAAGAATATTAACTACAGTTAACCTCCACAAAACTTACGTCCTAATGGTTCTGATGCACAGGTGTCCAGAGCAACGGCAACAGAGAATACGATGAATAAGACACAGAGGAAGGAGAAGATTCTGGAAATCATTTTGGTTTGATAAAATGATGCGAGCTTCTTTCTTTTATATGAAAACGCTCACGGCTAAAACCATCAATGTCTGACGGCTGAGTAAATGGATGAAGCATAAACGAGAGCTGTAGGAACAGCATTGCAACTTTTTTGAGATCCATGATTTTTTATGGGCGACATCATTGAACTCTCCAAATGAAACACAGAGTCAACTGTTTGTTTAACTTGATCGCTATCTTTGCATTTGTTTGAATCAGCCTGCAAGCATGCGAGAGTTGCAGGAGTGACTCTCATTAGTACATCAGATTGGTGTTCGATCCTAGTTTCACTTCTTTCAGCGATGTTGTTGTGCAGATGCTTTTTCTTCCATCGTAATACCAATGCTCACAATATACTGAATTCAGTTGAAACAGATGATAGTTGTCAAACATTTTCATTTCGGGCGTTTTCTCCACAGTGTCTTACTTCACAAGTAACGTTCTATTCTGTAAATTATTCATATATAAACGAGAAGATTTTCTTTCAGTTTCTTTCATTTTAGATCTGCAGTCTATTGCTGAAATCGGAACATAATAACAATGTTTTTGATTATAGAAGTAGCACAGCTCTGATATCATGTTGATCGACAACGATGATAATGCATTACAAACCATTTGTTATAAGTTTTCAGCAATATCGGCTATTCACACATCATGTTTCTGTTGAAAATTTCAGTCTCATTTATTAACCATAGCCCAATCCATTACACCCGGAGGTTCAATTTAAGCTCATGTTGAGCTTTGACTGTCACCAAGGAGCATTCAAATGAGATCAAGATATCAACCGTTAGGATAACAACAGTCAAGAAGATGACAACAGCTCGAAAAGGGTAATCTTTATTATTATTATTAGAGCATTTGTTCATTTCTTGTGCTTTCACCACACTATATAGGTACGGATC